GAACCAATAACACAAGCACAAAGTTACTGAAGTTGCAATCACAGAAAAAAATGTTTAACAATTAAATCCTCTTCCTCTCATGGATTTCATATGTATCCTTCTGATATCTGTCATTTTAGCTGAGTGTGAGAAGAAAGAATGCAGAAATGTTTGGAGGATTCTTTAAAAACATGGTGAAGTCAGCTGATGAGGTCCTTATCTCAGGAGTAAAGGTGTGGCTTCTGCATGATCTGTTTACAGAATTTATGACAGCATTACATTTGCAGTTTTGCAGCCCTTCCACAATAACCTTTGCTTCTGTGTTTTTTTTTTCCCACACAGGAAGTTGATGACTTTTTTGAGCAGGAGAAGACATTCCTGCTTGACTACTACAGCAAGATAAAAGATTCCACTGCTAAAGCAGAGAAAATGACCCGCGCCCACAAAAGTATTAAAGACATTTTTACATTTACCCTGTTGAACTGGACTTTGAGTTGTACAAAAACTCCTCAAACTGAACCTAACATAAGGAATCTGTGATGTTGGAATGAATTAATTCATATTTGGAATTTTGTTTAGTTTGTGATTGATAATTCCTGTTATTACAGATATTGCGGATGATTATATTTCACATCTCTGCCACTCTGAACAGTATCTCTGGGGACGATAGTACTGCAAATAAGAAGTGAGTGTAATATGTATAATTTAATGGTTGTTTTTGTTTGTACTTGGTGTTGAAGATTATAAAGAAATGTTTTTCATTTGGCCTCGTCTTGTGGACAAACAAAGTCATTTTCAAGATGTTGGGTTGTGATAATAATTGCATGCTGTTTGTATTCACATACTTCATCATGTCTGTAATTCTTTTCTCAGACACCTGGAGAAGTTGTCAGACCTGTTTGAGAAGCTTAGAGTAAGTAGAATCTCTTGCTCGACAAATTGAGACAATTTTTCAAGTATCCTATATCTAATACATTTGTCCTGATTATATAGTACATTATGGTAGCTACTATATGTCTTTATTCATTTCTCTGCAGAAAGTGAGGGAAGAGTAGCATCTGACCAGGAGCTGAAACTGACAGAGTTGTCTAAGATACTACTGAGAGACATCCAGGCTGCTAAGGTGAAACGTGTTTATACTTCTGTCTTCATACAAAATGCTCACACTCACAACTATGCTGCTTGTTTATGCAGTTCACACATCACTGTGTTTCAAGTGCAGACATAATAGAACACATTGTAATAACAAATACTCTGCTATTTATCACAGATCAGGGTTCGGTATTAATCCTTATTCATTTTTATAAAGTAATCTGAATGATTGAAGGTTAAAGATAAAGAGAAAATCATTTGCATTAGCAGCAAGCCAGCTATTTTACAATCATCATATTATGAGAGATTTTCATTTTTGTTATGTTCAGCATGAGACCCAAATTAGTATTTATTCAAATTTTAATATTGCATTGAGGAGCAGTAAGAAACCCTGGTATACAAGACAGAAGTGCATGATTTTCTCGATGACTGTTATTTCCAGTTCAGCACATCTTCTGTTAAAATCTGTCTTTTGCAAACATGAAATTAGATGTTGAGCTCAGTGGATTGGTAGTTGTAGTACTTCAAATTGCAATTTCTCTTTAAGCTCCCCATTCTTTTATTTCTCATTTTTAATTATCTGAAATGTGTCTGTTAGGACACTTTTTGTACAGGCGAGCTCGGGCATTAGCTGACTATGAGAACTCTAACAGGCTTTGGATAAGGCCCGACTGAAAAGCAAGGAACTACCCCAGGCAGAGGAGCACCAGCAGCACTGCCTGCAGAAATTTGACAAGCTTTCAGAGTCTGGGAAGAAAGGTTTGTGCATCCATTCTGTACTTGTTTCTTTCTGTCTAAAATGGTATGCACTACGTGAGTCCTTTTTATATACTGCATAATGTTTTCCTCATAGAGCTCACCGGTTTCAAGGGCAGGCGTGTTGTGGGCCGTCAGCGCTAAGAAAGTTAACACTTTATATATTTAGGTAGCAGTGTGATAAAAGAGCACAGGCCACATGTATTTGTGGAGCATGCTGTGACACATAATGATAAAAAAAAAAAAAAAAAAAAAAAAAAGAACCAATAACACAAGCACAAATGTTACTGAAGTTGCAATCACAGAAAAAAAGTTTTAACAATTAAATCCTCTTCCTCTCATGGATTTCATATGTATCCTTTCTGAATTCTGTCATTTTAGCTGAGTGTGAGAAGAAAGAATGCCAAGGAAATGTTTGGAGGATTCTTTAAAAACATGGTGAAGTCAGCTGATGAGGTCCTTATCTCAGGAGTAAAGGTGTGGCTTCTGCATGATCTGTTTACAGAATTTGTATGACAGCATTACATTTGCAGTTTTGCAGCCCCTTCCACAATAACCTTTGCTTCTGTGTTTTTTTTTCCCACACAGGAAGTTGATGACTTTTTTGAGCAGGAGAAGACATTCCTGCTTGACTACTACAGCAAGATAAAAGATTCCACTGCTAAAGCAGAGAAAATGACCCGCGCCCACAAAAGTATTAAAGACATTTTTACATTTACCCTGTTGAACTGGACTTTGAGTTGTACAAAACTCCTCAAACTGAACCTAACATAAGGAGATCTGTGATGTTGGAATGAATTAATTCATATTTGGAATTTTGTTTAGTTTTGATTGATAATTCCTGTTATTACAGATATTGCGGATGATTATATTCACATCTCTGCCACTCTGAACAGTATCTCTGGGGACGATAGTACTGCAAATAAGAAGTGAGTGTAATATGTATAATTTAATGGGTTGTTTTTGTTTGTACTTGGTGTTGAAGATTATAAGAAATGTTTTTCATTTGGCCTCGTCTTGTGGACAAACAAAGTCATTTTCAAGATGTTGGGTTGTGATAATAATTGCATGCTGTTTGTATTCACATACTTCATCATGTCTGTAATTCTTTTCTCAGACACCTGGAGAAGTTGTCAGACCTGTTTGAGAAGCTTAGAGTAAGTAGAATCTCTTGTCTCGACAAATTGAGACAATTTTTCAAGTATCCTATATCTAATACATTGTCCTGATTTATTAATACATTATGGTAGCTACTATATGTCTTTATTCATTTCTCTGCAGAAAGTGGAGGGAAGAGTAGCATCTGACCAGGAGCTGAAACTGACAGAGTTGCTAAGATACTACATGAGAGACATCCAGGCTGCTAAGGTGAAACGTGTTTATCTTCTGTCTTCATACAAAATGCTCACACTCACAACTATGCTGCTTGTTTATGCAGTTCACACATCACTGTGTTTCAAGTGCAGACATAATAGAACACATTGTAATAACAAATACTCTGCTATTTATCACAGATCAGGGTTCGGTATTAATCCTTATTCATTTTTATAAGTAAATCTGAATGATTGAAGGGTAAAGATAAAGAGAAAATCATTTGCATTAGCAGCAAGCCAGCTATTTTACAATCATCATATTATGAGAGATTTTCATTTTTGTTATGTTCAGCATGAGACCCAAATTAGTATTTATTCAAATTTTAATATTGCATTTGAGGAGCAGTAAGAAACCCTGGTATACAAGACAGAAGTGCATGTATTTCTCGATGACTGTTATTTCCAGTTCAGCACATCTTCTGTTAAAATCTGTCTTTTGCAAACATGAAATTAGATGTTGAGCTCAGTGGATTGGTAGTTGTAGTACTTCAAATTGCAATTTCTCTTTAAGCTCCCCATTCTTTTATTTCTCATTTTTAATTATCTGAAATGTGTCTGTTAGGACCTTTTGTACAGGCGAGCTCGGGCATTAGCTGACTATGAGAACTCTAACAAGGCTTTGGATAAGGCCCGACTGAAAAGCAAGGACATACCCCAGGCAGAGGAGCACCAGCAGCACTGCCTGCAGAAATTTGACAAGCTTTCAGAGTCTGGGAAGAAAGGTTTGTGCATCCATTCTGTACTTGTTTCTTTCTGTGTAAAATGGTATGCACTACGTGAGTCCTTTTTATACTGCATAATGTTTTCCTCATAGAGCTCACCGGTTTCAAGGGCAGGCGTGTTGTGGCCTTCAGGAAGAACCTCATAGAGATGGCTGAGCTGGAAATAAAACATGCCAAGGTAAGCAGCACAAAGAGACAGGCAACCGTCACTTTGTGATATAGTATGTTGACATTTACAGTAATGACTAATACTTTCATCACATTTCTATGGGGACATGCACTCACCAAGCACTTTATTAGGAACACCAAACTAATACTTGGCAGGGCCTCCCTTTGCTCTCAAAACAGCTTCAAGTCTTCATGGCATAGGTTCCACAAGATGTTGGAAAAATTTCTCTAAGATTCTGCTCCATGTTGTCATGATTGCATCACATCATTTCTGCAGATTTGTCAACTGCACATTCATGCTGCCAATTTTCTGTTGTATCTATTAGATTCGGATCTGGGGCCTCATTTATAAAATAGTGCGTTGGATCCATACTAAAAGTGTACATGCGCATAAAAGCCGAAAATGGCATAAGCAAAAAAGTAATCAGATTTATAAAACTGTGCACCCCCACAACGTCTCCCTTTTATAAAGCACAGTCATCTTGAAAATGTGCTCACTTTGGTGAGCCACATGCTCTGCCCAAAACACAATTAACCTTAAATGGTCAATGCAAGTCTCTCCTGAGTATTGATATATATATTGTTCCTGTGCAGAATGGAGACAGTGTTACAAACAAAACAAAGTTTGAGAGGCTAATGGCTGCAACAGCCGTTAATGCAACAAACAAGACAATTTCTGAGATTAAACAAAGTGATCAGACATGGAGGTGGATGCCTTGAATGATTTGTTGCACACCCATCAGAGTGTGGACTGACTAGCAGAGGCACAGAGACAGCATTTTTTTAAGCATCTATAAACTAGGGCTGCACGATAATCATTTTGCGATTATTTTGGCAGATATTGTGATTGTGATATGTTATTGCGATTACAGTTGGAATAGTTGTTCTAGCATTTCATTTTCACTGAAAACAAAAAATGCTAATGTGATTCTTATTGAGTTTTGTACCGAACAATCATGATCCTTTACATCTGGAGAATAGGATTTGTAGGCCAGGGCATCTCTGTAGCAATGCTTATGGTGCTAACAATACACAACAATATTGTGACACATTTGACCTTTATCGGAAAAATTGCTCCTGCGATTTGGATATTGCACTTGGCCGTATTGCGATTTCGATTATTTTTCGATTAATTGTGCAGCCATACTATATACTATAGACATGTAGCTGATGGATATAGCTGATGAAATCACACGCTAAATATCCACTGGATTTAATTTCAAAATCCAGCTTATCTCCAGTTTCTCTCATTGTCACAGTTGATTGTAAATGCAGGTGGTGTTGAGTGAGACGGCTGTGTTGAGTGCAGCAATTTTACACACAAAATCTGTATGAAAACTAAAATCGTACTTCTACGATATATGCACATTTCTGCATTTTTAATGGCATTTCGTGTTATCTTGGATTTCTGATCATTTAATCAGGTAGGCTCGTGGTTGATGCGAAAAAGACTTAATATGGTCATATATAATATCGGACAAAAGGCAACTAAGCCTTTCATGAATCTTGCCACATCCTGGCATCATCCGTGCATTTCAACATCTATGGTTGCTCCACAACTGACCATGATTGTCAGTAGCTACAGTCCAACCCTCTTCTCTGCACTCCCGGGGTGGGGAGTGTGATGGTGAGACAGTGTTGATGAAATTATTTGATTTGAGATGTAAGTTGAGTTTACAATTGAAAGGTGCTTATGGAATAGTTATGGCTCACTGGCACAAGCACAAATAACGCTGCTGGTACGTTTATGATGAAGTGGATCTAAAAGTAATGTTAAATCAATTTCTACAATCAATTTCTACAATTTCCAAAGTTAGTTACAAGTGAGGGACATCACTAAAGCCTCTCGGCTGACAGGAGTGTAGCCCATCCACCTCAAGGCTCAACATGTACATTGTGAGATGCTTCTCTGCCCACCACAGTTGTAAAGAGTGGTTATATGAGTAACCATAGCCTTTCAGTCAGCTCAAGCCAGTCTGGTCATCCTCCTCTGACCTCTCTCAACAACAAGGAGTTGCTGTCCTCAGAACTGCAGCTCACTGGATGTTTTTTTGTTTTTGAGTAAAAACTTTAGAGACTGTTGTGTGTGAAGATCTCAGGAGATCAGTAGTTTCACAAATACTCAAACCAGTCTGGCACCAACAGTTACACCACAATTAAAGTCATGGAGATCACATTTTTCCCTCACTCTGGTGTAGGATGTGAACAGTAACTGAGTCTCTTGATCTGTATCATCTTATGCATTGAATTGCTGCCACATAATTGGCTGACTGGATAATTGCATGAATAAGCAAGTGTATAGGTGTTCCTAATAAAGTGCTTGGTGAGTGTACGAGCATATTCACTGTTTCAAAATCAGGATACCTTTATAACTGACAAATTATAACTGACTGGGTTACAAGTGTGCATGTAAATGTTGTATTTGGCAAGAGATTAGTTGGAATTTAAAGAAAAACATACACCACAAAGTAAACAGTTAGTTATTTTAAGTCTTTCCTGTTTAAAACATAAAGAGACAGAAACTCTGTTTAAAAGAGAATACAGTAATAACACTTGGCTAGTCTGGACCCTCTGACAATAATGTGATATATAGTATATAGTTAGGGTTATTAATACTGTTTCCTCCTGTCTCCACAGAACAATGTGACTCTACTGCAGGGATGCATTGATCTGCTCAAGAGCAACTGACATGTTTTCACATGTTCCTTTCCTACCATCACCAAGTGACCAGTCATAACAAATGGAAATCTGGCGTCCCCGGGGCCTTGCATGGACATGAATCTAAGCCCTATCTCTGCTCCCACCCAGGGGTCTGATGCCACTTTAAAACCCTGCACGAGACCAAGTGTCTTGTAAGCAGAATGTCTTCATGTTTACAGAGTCCCTGTCCTCTGGTCTGTGGTCCATCCTTTTCCATTATTTATGGAAGTCAAACTCGGTGTGAATGCCTTTAGAGAATGAGGCTGCCAACATTAAGGTCTTCCATATTTTTTCAGCACCAACAGAGGTGACTTCTCTTTTTTGTTAATTTCTTTGATTTCTCATTACTACATTATGCACATAGTAAAAACCTTGCCTTTTTGATCATGTTTCTGCCTCCATAAATTTCGACTCTAATATCCTCCCTAATGTAAATACCTTTTTAAAAAGGCTTAGAGAATGTTTTTTTTTTCACATAGCCATAATGTAAGTTTTATTTCATATGCTTAATCTATTGGGGCTTTTACGTTTGCTAATGGAACAGTTTTACAGAAGCAAAACTAGTGCCTGGAAAAAAAAATCCTCATGCTCTGCATTCCTGGGCTCTGAGATTAGTGTGCAACCAAACCAACCCTCTAGTATTGAAACTCATGACTGACTTCGAAGACAAGACAGATGATTTTCATGTGTTCAAAAATAGCTGCACTTCACCTCAGGAATGGACAGTTGGATGAGTCCCAATATTCTTGTTTGTCAGAAGTGGCCTCAGATCCCACAGTTCTCAAAGACGCACGTTAGGTTTGCAAATATGGATGAATCATAGAAGATTTCATCAAGAGATTGGTGAGAAGAATAAGTCAAACTAAAGGCTATTGAGTATTAGCATTTTCATTTAAGAAAAGTCAACATTAGTAATGGTAATGGTTTTATTTGCACAGGGCACCCATAACACCCCTGCACTACATGTATTATGTTCTCAGCAGCTTCTTCACCCCAACCGATTCATGCTTTCCTTTTCAGTGTGAAATTATTGTTGTTTTTCTTTATTATTTTTTGCCCTAAATTCCTCTTTGTTATTGACAGGCTCTCATGTACAAGACCCAATATATTTTACCAGATCCTCTAAGCTGTTTATTTCAAACAGTCAGAGGAAGGTGCACTAAAAAGATGAAAAATACTTTACAATCGTGACCAGGCTCAGTGGAGTGTTAAAATGCATTATAGTTTTTTAAGAAATTGAATGTATTTCTAATGGATTCCAACTGTGTGAATTCCTTTACATGATGCTTTTCTTACAGATCATTAGCATTTTATAAATTTGTAATAATGGCATTGAATAAATCCTACTTTCCCAAGTTTGATCTTTGCCATTCTGTATTTGTTTTAAGGGTGTGTAGCTTATCCGTCACTCCTTACAAAAAATTAACAGTATTCGTATTTTAAAGAGCCACCCATTATACCACTAGGTGGCAGTATCCATCTATCCGTTACACCCTGTTTTCACTAAGTTTTAGTGTGTGGGCCCTTGAATTTAAACACAGCTGTATGCATGTTTGTGTTAAATCCATTGACCACGGAGAATCCTGGAGAGGGACTGTGTGGTGTATTAGGTAAGCTTTGAGGAAATGCCAGAGCGCTCATGGGAATCACCACCACCAAAATGCACATTTCATGTCCTACTTTATGAGCAGCACTAAGCAACATGACCTAACAAATAATCTGCAGCGAAACACTACAGCCCTTGTATAACTAATATGTAAATAGCTAAACAATTTTTTTTTTGTGTGTATCAGGTTATCCATCATATACTTCATGCTAGTCTCTGCATTATAGTCAATTTATAATTATCTATGATAAGTATATAAAGACCATTTACCAGCACTTAAATAATTCCACACATAACAGTGAAAGGTTACACCTGAATGAGACATGGAGGAAAAGGAAACATTTAATGATCATGTGCATACACAGAATATACCGTACCTGCCCTAATATATTTGTCAATACTGACATCACCAGTCAAGCAGACACAGTGCTCTGTAGGGTTTGCTCGATTCACCGATTGGATGAAACTCCGGACTACAGCCAATGAGATCATAACACACTATCAGTACAAACAGATTAGTTTGCCAACTGCGATCAGAGCAAGCAGGATTTGAAAGCATGGCATGAAAGAACTGGAGGATCCAAAGAAAAAGGGCCTCTTTTTGGAACATGAAGAGGAATGTGAAATAAAAGGCCCAGACTTTAACCTGAGGTGTCTGTTTTAAGGTGCCACGGTCTAGGCATTTACCGACAGAGAGCTTATTTCTCTTCATTGTCCAGATACTGATCACAGCTTATCAGAGTGAAACAGAAAAATATCAGTCCCTAATTTAGTCTTTTTCGTGTTCCTTTTGCATGGCTGCTGTGTTATTGTGATAAAGAATTTCCTCAGCTCTTGCTCTAATTGCGGAAATAAAACTTCTGAGGCAATGATGCACTGTGTGAAATTTGTCTGCAATGGTGTAAGGCAACAAAACCTGCTTGGTCAGAGTCTTATTTTGCTTTGTGATTTTATGAATTTCCTCATCTCCCCAAAGGCACACTTAGATAGATATGATGTACAGGCTTTAAATGCATGATAAGAGGTGATATTTTACAAATTCTGAGAGCTTCTGGAGACATTATCACTGATTGACCATTCATGATTAATTCTACACTGTCTTCATGATCCCAAATGTGTCAAAATCCTCAGTCATACACATACTGGTCCAGGAATTTGTGAATGTATAATGGAAGGCAATAACAAAAAGGACTGAGCAAAAAGGCATGAGTTCACATGTACTTTCTTCTGCTGTGTTATGTCCTGATTGTCTTAAGTGTTTCTGAGCCTTTGGTTGTGGTCATGGTTAGGTGAACTGCAAAGAGTCAACTTATTTATGCTGACTGAGCCGGTGAAAGCACCTGCCTCATGTCCCACAGCTCTATCACTGTTCAACTGGAAAGTCATGATAAGTGCAGACAGAAGCCTTTGAGAAGGATTGGAGGCATAAAGCATGAAGTCTTCCTCAAATAGAAACTGTGTTCTCTGACTCACTATAGAAAAGTGCACCTGCGTGTCTTGCTGGTGTAACTGAATTGTCAGCTCTTCATTAGTGAAACAGAACAGGATGCTACTTCCTGGTGCCCATCAGGTATAATTTGCACAGATACAGGTTTTGAATTCCTTTTCCTCTTTGTTTCTACCTCCTGATTGACAGTGAATGTTAAGACACACCTCCAGCTCTGAGGCTATGGGCTCATACAGTATATCCCTCTGACAACCCTTTCTGCCTGGAGACATACAACACAAGTGTTTCTTTCAAATATTGTTCCTTGTTGGTGAGAAATGTTGCAGATTCAAACTTGCAGAAAACAAATCATAATGCTCTCCATGAGGGCCTTTGGGTCAGTTGCAGTATTCAGGATTTAGCAAACAGCAGCTTCGTTATGACTGTGAGATAAGATATCTACATATGGGAACATATTTAATGATAACATAATTCAGATTCTCACTGATTCTCGCAGTAATTTCATGACCACACAATGTTTTTTCTTTCTTGAATAATGCAGTTCTGTCATTAACACAAGGCTAAAAAGTTCAAAGCACCAGGAGGTTTTCTAAGTTGTGTTGGCCAAACATTTCCTAGGTTAGTGTGCCCTGCCCTGTTCAGCCAGGTATTTACTTTTATGCACACAATACAAATACATAAACTCAAAGTCTGAGTAATCCATGACAAGTATTTTACCTCATCACACAACAGATCTATATTTCACACCTGTTTTATCCTATGCTGTAAAAGGCTAATTGTCATAGTCATTGTGACATCATACAAATACTAAAGCAAGAGAGAGCTGAGGGAGCAAATTTTGCCAGCAATGTACTTTCGGTAGCTGAGAAAAGGAAGAGTCAGTGTGAGAAAAGGGAGTGAAAATGTCACACATCAGTTACAGCAGCAGTGCAAAGTGAAGGCAAAATAACTGACTCTGGTTCGTGTGCATTAGATCAGAATCACCAGCTTTAAGCTTAGAGAAAGAATTGATTTGGTTGGTTTCACAGCTGACTGTCAGCAATATATATTGGTATAGCAGTACACAGGAACCCACACCCTTGCACATACTATAAATGAGGCTTATTAATTTTAATATTTACCGAAGTCACTTTAAAAAACACTTTTGCAGTCATAGATCTCATACTGGAAATTGGAAAGAAACATTTAGTATATTGTGTTATTTTTCTGAGGTGTTGTGTTTTTTTATGGTTATTATGAGATTATTTACTATTTGTTGAAATCTGATATCTGTAACTAGACTTGAGCAACAAGTGTCTCCACTTAACAAACAATTGTATTAAGCAGTTAGAGGAGAGGTTGTGTCAAGAACGCCTCTAAAAGCAGTTTTCAAATGAGTGACCTGGGGTGTGGACAGAGTAATTTTCCATTATTATAGGTTCCACATTTCAGTTACAGAACACTTATTAATCAATTAAAGAGGTACACATTGTGTTGATGCATTAGATGAATACAACGTCATTATAATTTTCCCTTTATAGTTTCTTTGGGTGTTAAAATATAATGGAGGGTGTGATAAACAATCCTTCCAAGAAGGAGTGTCTGAACTTTAATGTCAACTAATGCTAACAATGTTATCCAGCAACTTGCAGGTGACCTTTCAGGTGTAGCTAATGATGGCAGTTTCTGGGAGGCCCGTAGCCTAGCTTGAGGCTATTTAATATATTAGAAAATAGTAATTAAAGCAGAAGTCTTGTTTCCATTAAATTGCTAGGGTAAAAACAGGTGTCATTTAGGTAAGTACAGTATGCATCAGACTTATTGTAAAGGATGTCCCCATAATGTTGTGCAGTCAAGTATTGTTCAAATCCACAATGAGGATACTGAACCACATACCCCATACTTGATAATTTCCATTTGATGAAATGTGGCAAACTATTAAAAACTCATGGGGTTTGCATATTTCTCTCAGTGTAAACATTATATAGCTCCAAAGAGCTGGAACAGAACTGATACATAATATGCATATATGATACAGGCAGTTTGTAATAATATGATTTAACAACCTTGAGGTTAATGAAGAGAAAACAATGGGGGGAAACCATATGGTTTTTGCAAACAAAAACTGTTACTAAACTGCTACTAAAAAAATGCAGCCTTCTCTTTGAAATGTATGACGCACAATGTCTCCAAAACTGCTAAAAACTCTAAGGAAAAAGTTCGGTTGTCGAATTTACTTCAGCGCTTTACTATAGTAACTGTACTTATTTACTTTCCTTTTCAAACACACCACTTTTGTTTGACTGGAAACTGTCCGACTCAATAAGCCTTTTCAGGTAAATAGAAGACTACAACTCCCAGTGTAATCATTTCCGTCTTGGATACCTTCCAACCAATCAGAAGCCTTCTGGGTCCATGGTAGCTATCTGGGGCACGGGGCCAGCACGTCTAGCCAGCTCGAAGTGCCACGACTTCACAGCGGACCACGGATTCTCCAGTGGAGTGAGGGGGAGAGCACTCGAAAAAGCAACTTAGCTACATAGCTGGATAAATAGGTAGCTTTGCTCAGAAGTCACTTCATCTACAACTCAAAGCTTTTTGCCCTCTCTCCATTCCCTTTGAAGCAAACAGACGCAGCTACATCACCAGCGAGGTAAGTCTGGGAATCTTGGAATTTTTTATTCATTGAGCCAGCGTTAGCTAGCTTGGAAAGCTAACTCCTGCTAACTATTAGTACAGAAAGACAGCCGATTAAAGTTATCAACAATTATTTTAGATTTTTTTCAGCATTAGCTGTTCAGTTTCCAGTTTTATTATAGCCTTTGCAGCGCAGTTTTGTTAGGTAAAACGACACTTTATTCTCCAATGTGCAGGACGTTAGCCAAGTTAATTGATTCATAATGTTAGCTCCACTGCTAGCTTGCAAGTAATGATTAAAAGCATATCACATAAAGACAATTGCAGAATTACACTCTCTCTGTACGTTTTAATGCATTTTTGAAGGGGTGAGGATGTAAAGTATCCATGATGTCTCATAAATCTTCAAGGCCTGCTTCAGTTGTAGTCTCGGTATAATAAATTTAGTATTAGCTTGACATTAAATAAACTATCAAGGAAGTTCTTGGAAGACAATGCCTTTGTATTAAAGTATATAATGAAAAGTGGGTGATTTCGTTAAATTATTTCTTATCCTTACAGTATGTCTAACACCAAGCGTAATGATAGAGTACCCCCTTTAAAGGAAAGAAAATATGGTCGTTTACATATTTACCTCCACGGCTAAGCAAAGTTAATACATTTTCATTTTAGCTGACGGGTATCATACATCCTAATGCAGCCCCCGTATGCGTCCCATTGCCTATGAATGAAAACCAGATATTTTAATTTTAAGTGCCGTACAAGTGGTAATAGTTACACAATAGTAAGTTTCATCTTATAGCTCTATCTCTTATGGACCTTGAGATACACGTTCATCTTCAGAGAGTCACCTAGAGCCAGTTTTCTTGAAGTTATCTTTCTCAGTTCAGTCTGAGTGGAGATGCAGTGACGTGTGACATCACAGATTAGGAGGCAGTACAAACTCTTCCCTTTCGCTTCTACCTTTTAGACCCTGCTATGAACAGGGACTCTGGACTCGTTTCAGTTATACTATAGCAGCTCAGCAGTTTTCCTCTACCACGTCATAGTATTGGTTTGTTGTAAAACAATAAAGCTCCACGTTGTATATTTACTGATAGGATAACATCCTCATCCATAATATAAACAAGGATATAACTGATAGTGCTGCAAAAAAGAAAGAAAGAAAAAAAAGATCAAAGAAGTTTCAGTGTCCCTCATCTGTCATCTTCTCTCAGCCGACTTTCCTCTCCTGCAGGCTAAACATTCTCCTTTATGACAGGAGCCTTTAAGGGCTTTAAAGGGATCGTTGAAATGGCCTTTAAGATATGTTTTTTTTTTTTTTTTTTTGCAGGGCAGGAAATTAACAATAACCACCAGCCAACTGCTGGAAATTTTGGCAGTTGCTTGTAACTTTGTGTACTTTATTAACTTTTGTCTGTAACCCTTTCTGCGTCTATGGTTTGGGTTTCTATTTTTGATTGTTTAATACTGTAAGCAGTTGATGTAACTTAACCCTGTTTCACACATGCACCTAATTTCGTAATAGCTCTGATAATTTTAGCATCAAATGTGAAAAAGTAACAGGAGTCATTTCTGTGGAATAGTTGCTCTGGCAGTTTGCTGACACAGGATCTGCTGACCTTTCCATAACTCTTTGTGGTTGGTTGAATATGAATTACATCGGCAACAATAGCAGAAAAGGCAGTCATGATTTTTGTATATGTTAATAAATTATAACCAATATTACCAATAATAACCAATAATAATACATTTTTGATTTGTTTTCTAAAAATATTTTTGGTACATTTCCAATTGGATAACCAAACTAATGATGAGTAAAATTATTTTCATATCGGACCACCCATTCTAGTTCATCTTGTGCCACTTTGCAACAGCAAAGTATTGTTTTAATGTGCAAAGAAATTAAATCTGGTCTGTTAAGTGAGTCCATTTTGACAAAAAATACTGTGAATTACATGTTTCAAGCTGTAAATCATACTTTTAAAGAAATGTTTTCTGGAGGATTTTCTTAATTGTATATTTCAGGTAAGGGGGTTCTCAGCATGGAGTTGGTCTTAAATTTGTGTTTACTTTGGCTTAGTGTGTTTCACTGCTTGTACTACAGAAAGGTCAGTGCTGGACTTTAAAATTAAGCAGTGTATGAGATTTAACTTGGTGACTTTGAGCTGTACATGAACACATGTTTTACCATTGTTGGAAAGCCATATGAGGCTTGAGTTTGACCAGCTGCTATCTGCCACACAGTTTGCTGATAAGTTGTGCTGTTCTGCATTATGTAGTCAGCCTCAAGGCAGAAGTTTATGGGGAGAACAGAGACACCTTGAGGCTGTTGAAGGTAAAGGCTGTGGTTGTGCAGCATTCATCAAAATTCTCTCTCATCCGTTGCTCTTACTACAGCAGCTGTGACTTATTGAAATATTGTTGTTAGTATTGCAGTTTAGGTTCACCTATGAATTACTATATCAACTTCTTTCTCCTCTCATAGAAATCCCTGCTCTTTGGTTGTTCATAGTAAGCTGTTCCATTTTTTTTTGTTAGTTGTTGACAAGTCTTCCACTCTCTTTTTAGGTTTACTGAAATTGAGCAATGGATATCTACGACCCCCAGACCCTTGGGATAATGGTGTTTGGTGGATTCATGGTGATCTCGGCCGTCGGGATTGTTCTTGTCTCCACCTTCTCCATGAAGGAGACTTCTTATGAGGAGGCCCTAGCTAAACAACGCAGAGAGTTGGGCAAAATACAATCTGTTCGCTCTGAGAAAAAGAAGAAGGACAAAGTGTCTGAGAAGAAGAGCCGTGGAAAGAAAAAAGACGAAAAGCCCAATGGTAAGATCCCAGAGCAGGAGAAAATGGAAGTGGCTGCTGAAGCTGACACAGTCATTGAGTCTGCCGCTGCCCCAGTCGTAGCTGCTGCTCCTGCTCCTGTCCCTGAGCCTGTCCCTGCTTTTGAGGCTAAGCCAACTGCAGCCCCACCACCAGCAGACACCCAGCCCAAGACTGCTGCTGAACCGAGCCCTGCTGCCGAGCCCTCACCTGCGCCCTCACCGAAAGAGAAGAAGAAGAAGAAGGTGGCTAAGGTTGAGCCAGCCTCAACCCAGGCAGCTCCACTTGTGTCTGCCCCTGCACCAGTCAAGTCCTCCTCAGTCCCTGCATCAACCCAGGCCCCTGTCTCTGCCCCAGCTAAGGCAACTGCCCCATCGTCTACACCTGCCCCAGCTAAGGCTGCCCCTGCATCATCTAAGGCCACCCCTGCATCAGCGAAGTCTGCACCTGCATCAGCTAAGTCTGCTCCTGCCCCTGCATCAGGCAAGTCTGCTCCGGCATCAGCCAAATCTGCCCCTTCCACTGCTCCTGCATCAGCTAAGTCTGTCCCTGCCCCAGCCAAATCTGCCCCAACACCAGCGAAGGCTGCAGCAGTCCCAGCCAAGTCTACACCAGCTCCATCCAAGATGGCCCCAGTGCTGGAGGCTGTCACTAAAGATGTCCCAGTGATGGCAGTGCCCCCTGTGGGATCACAGCAGGCTCCTGCTGTTGCAGCAAAGGCACAGGAGCCCAAGAAGAAGTCCTCCAAGAAAAAGACTGAGCCTGGTAAGCAGATATGTTTTGCCATTGCAACTGTACATTTTTTTTAAATTTATTTATTTATTTTATAATTTCTGTGGTTATGAAAGATGACAGTGCAGCCAGAATGTTGAAATCAACATATAACCTCAGTCTTAAGATCCTAGTCTGTTGTGTGCTCAACCAAGACTCTGAAGGATATCACAGCTGCCATTTCCACTGGAAATCACAGCACAGCTCTACACTATCTTTAGGTTCTTGGTAACTTTCCCTCTGTCTGTATGTATTCTTATTCTGATTAATGGTGCTTTTTAAACTAATAATTTTACTGCATTAAACAAAAAAAAAACAAAAAAAGATGAAAGACGCCTGTTGATTGGTCTTGGCTAACCCTGCTATCCTTTCCTGTTAAAACACTCATTGTTTGTTTGAGGAACAAGAGTATTTAGTTGACACCTTCTGCAAGTCTTTGCAAACTACACTTACCTATAACCCCTTCTCTGCATATCAAGGATCAAAGCCAGGATAGTCTATGAATATGTTGTTACACTAGAACCATCATTGTTAAAATTAGCCTTCTGCCTTGAATTGATGGAAGTGGCTGTCTAGGCAGGAACTACGTTAGCCATAACACTGGGGATAGTAGTTAGACTTGAACGTTTGTAGGTAAAATGGGGGCATGTCTGTACAGTTGAGTTGCACACACATATACTCTCAATCTAAGGCAGTAATACCCTGTCAGTACTGATGAACTTCGAGCTGTGTACCAGTGGAAAGTCGTGCCAATGGCAGTGGTGGGTAATGTCTGGCACTCAAGCTCTGGAGGGCATAGAGCAAGCCAGCTTGTCCAAACACCGCTGCCCTGTTTTGTTAACTGACAAAGGCTCTCAGTGCCCTGACAATGGGCAGGGAAGGGGAAGGGAGGGGGGTTCTCCCTTGCCTGAGGCTTGTCTCCGACTGGTGCCACAGTGCCCCATCATTTTGCCATCCGAAGCTGCCCAGGGCCCCAGACCCAAAGGATAAGTCGCAACCTTGTCCTTTTCCTGAAGCCATGTGGGAATTCAGACTTCACTGTGACAGCCTAATGAGCCTTAAAACTATCTGTCTTTTAGTTTTAAACATGAAATCATCTCTGAATTCACTGTCTGTGTGTTCCATTGAACTGTTTTGTTTGTCTCTTTAGTGGCAGCGGTGGATTCTGCTGATGCTCCGCTGTACCTTCCCTACAAGGCTCTGGTATCCACTATCAGTAGCATGGTGTTCAGTGAGGGAGAGGCTCACAGGCTCATCGAAATCCTGTCTGAGAAGGTTGGCATCATTCAGGACACCTGGCACATGGTATGAGATACTACTGTCAATGATGAGGAAAGACACCTGCGAGGCTAGCTGAGTGCACAGGCACTAAAGTTCATTGAATACATTTGAGCTCTGAAAGGAGATTCCACTCTGTCGTTTATGTTTTCAGGCCACTCAGAAAGGAGACCCAGTGGCTGTGCTGAAGAAACAACTGGAGGAGAGGGAGAAACAGCTGGCGGCAGAACAAGAGGACGCTTCTGCAGCAAAGAACCGTCTGAGAGAACTCAACAAGGTTAGACTCTGAAGTGTTGCAGATGTTGCCAAATTCCCACCACAACACATCATCTGGTGCAAGGCCATGCTGGCAGCCCTGTGAGACTCCGATACTTATTTCAGCAAAAAACAAAATTGTTGGATAGATGAAAATCTTACTGCCAATGAGGCGAAAAGTGTAGAATGGCCTGAAGGTGGCAGCAGAGTAAAAAAAGTCATGTTGTTGCCCAAATTAAAAGGGTTAAATCTCTGTTGAGAATGAATGTGTACAGACATTCCGGATGCAGTCTTCTTTTATCTTTTGTCCTTAAGGTGGCACTAAAAGAAAAAACGTGATCATAATACATCCACCAAGAAGTATGGGCTCACTCAATTCATGGCATCCCACCCGTTACATAAACATGGTACATTTTCAATCTCATGCAGTATCTATGTCCGCCTATGGGTGGCAATAGATGAAAGGTCATAGTCCATCCCTAGGCTAGCATGATTATGCTCAGCAAATGTCACGGCATCCTGTTCTGTATATTTTAAGATACCGTGTATACAAAGTAAACACAAAGGGTGGTGCTCAAGGAAAGGCCAGAAGGGTTATAGTGTGGCCTTATCCTGAATGGTGTGTGTGTGTGTGTGTGTGTGTGAGAAGTGTTAAATATTGTGTCATTGAGGTGGCACTAGAGGAGCAGCCTTCTGTACTAAAAATTCATGACAATAGTTGTGGGGATATTTCACTCTGTAAAGGCTCTTGTCAGACACATGACAGCACAGTCAGAGAGCAGATTCAGACTCACTGTTTGTTTATCAGGAGCTGTCTGCTGAGAAGTCCAAGGTGGCCAGTGTTGAGACGAGGCTGAGTTCCCAGCTGAGTAAGAGGGAACAAGAAATGATTGCTCTGCAAGCTCGCATGCAGGCCAGTTACCAGGACCATGTTGCCCAGACCCAGAGGCTCAATGGAAAGGTTAGTTCTCATATACAAGTATTACATGTTCTTAATATGCAATTCAGATTAGTACACTTTTCATTTTGTTCTTGTGTTGCCCTCTTGGTGATCTGGATTACAATTAGAACTAAAGATGCAGTTTTCCTTTTTCTTTTTTAATTCATTGTTCTTGACAGAGATTGAATGCAGAGCAGCCATCCAAGGTGAAAAAGTCCAATATGTCTACTTTATTAAAAAAAAAAAAAAAAAAACGTGACTCTTGCTCTTCCAGATCCTCAGCCTGCAGGACCAGCTGGAAAAAGGTCCCAATGCTCAACTTGCACGTCTACAGCAGGAGAACTCTATTCTCCGCGATGCCCTCAACCAAGCCACTAGTCAGGCTGAGAGCAAGTGAGTCAGTCCCTGTAACAATAGATGACAAGCAGTGATGCATGATGACATGCTTTCAGCTCTTTACATTGATATTAAAATTACATGCAAATCGAGTACAGTGTGTACAAATTCTGAGTAACATGTTTGTGAGGCATGTGTCCTGACTTCTGCTCGCTGTGTGTTTCTCTCTCTTTCACTCTGTCCACAGACAAAATGCGGAGCTGGCCAAACTGCGTCAGGAATGCACAAAGTTAACCAAGGAACTTGGAGAGAAGACAGAGAGTCTCCTTGCTGATGAGCAGATCAGGAAAGGACTGGAGGCCAAGGTCTCCGCTGCTGAGAAGCAAGTCACCCTGCTGCAGGTTGGCCTGGTCTATGGGAACACCACATCATCTCCATTATAAATTACACTGGATATAATCAGGTTTCCACACGGAAACAAACGTATTAGATTTTTCTTTTTTTTTTAAATGCTGTTTCTTCTTGGAGCAGCCATTTAGTCTCTACAAAATGCAAGTCTAGACCTTTCCCACCTATCCCCCGACCCTCTAATGTTATGGGAAGTTTAATTGCCTTGTAATCACAGAGCCCAGGGCTGGGCTGGAATGCAGCCATACAATAATGGGGCTGCAGGGAAAATGCTTCACAGCACCAGCTGGAATGTGTGTGTGTGTCTGAACATCTCTCCTCTCCAGCCTTCTATAATTGGCTGTAAAAGCGCAGGAGCAGTCTGATGCTATTTACAACACGTGACTTTCAGACACGCAGTACTTCCCTGTCTTACATTATCTGTAAGAACAAGGATATTTTACACTGTTCTCACATATACACTGTCAGTCTATGTAGTCTCTTACTGATGGAATGCTGTTGGTCTGTTTATTACTGGTTATGTGGAGCGAGTGAGTCAGCACTTCCTGACAGTCAAGTGCTCATTTAGTTAAATCATTTACTAATACCCCCTCCAGTTTAACAAGTTATGCAATAGCTCAGGCCACCAGTCAATACACAGTCAACATGCTCAAATTATAAGAGATTTTTTTTTTTTCCTCCTAATTTCTTTGATTTGAGATTAGTTTCGCTGTCTTTGTGAAATTTGTATGTGTTGACTAGACTGTGACCAGTGTTCAGTCGTCAACAGCAATTAGCTGCTTTGACGGAATCTTTCACAGCCGCACAGGCAGAGTAATCATTTCACAAATCCCCTCAAGTTTAAAGCACTTCCTACAAAACACTTCCTTAGACAAATAAAAACAAATTGCTTGACATGTTGTTAAAATGTATATTTTTATTTTCTGTTACACAACCTCAAGCCAGAAGATTTTCTGGTTGTCCCATTGGTGGATTATCTGTGACTATACTATTATGTCTTTTTCTTTGCATGTGTGGAAATATGATGTTTTTAAGGGTTCTTTAGAGAAATGGGACGTGGATCACATGTACTGTTATTGCCTTGTGAATTAATGCTTTATGTGGGATAATTCAGTGAGTCTTTGCTGCCCTCTGCTGACACATTTTGATCACTTTTTTTTTTTTTTTTCAGACCAGCCACACAGAGAGTGATCAGGCGTTACAGAGGAGGCTGGAGGAGGCGTGCGAGGAGCTCAGAACAACACAGAGTAGAAACAGCAGTCTGCAGGCTACCTTGGACAAGGCCCAACAAGACAGCAGCACACTCTCAGGTGAGAGACAGGAGGAATAGGTTCTTAATGGTTACCACATATTAGTAATTTTGCATCAATAGTAAAAATGAAAACATTTATGGCACTTTTCTGGGACCAGTAGCTGCGTCCCAGAATATAATATATGGAATAAGTTGTTAGTGTTGTTTTTTCTGTCCCTGCAGAATTCCAAGCACGTACAGGGAAATTGGAGGCTGAAATTAAGGAGCGCTCTGCTCAGGTAGATGCCCTGACTGCCCAGCTGGAGGAAACACAGGCAGAGAAAAGCCAGCTTGTACAGCAGGTGGCCTCCATCAACTCACTGCTGGAAGCCAGTCAGAACAAAAAGGAGGAGGTGGATAACATACAGGTAGGACATACTTTATCACGTAGACTTTTCTGAAATGGCTCGAAAGCTGAGACCCCATGCAGTCACCCCTAAAGATTTTTGTCAATTCCACAGGGGCAGGTGAATGGTGCAGAACTGGAACAACTAAAGCTCAGGTAAGTGTTTGATCTTCCCTTCATCAGCGTTAACATCAGATACAGAGCTGTTACATTTATTGATTTTTTTTTTTTTTTTTTTTTTTTTTTTTTTTTTCTCCCCTGCAGCCTTCAGGAGAGAGACAGCAAGCTGAACGCGCTTCATGAGGAACTGAAGCAACTGCAGATGAAGCAGGAAGCTGCAGTAAGTGTTGCAAACACACATTGGTTAAATATATTAACAATTAGTATCACTTCCCGGTTGCTTCCTGATTTTGTTTTGTTTTTTTTAATTATTATTCATACAAAGATGTAGACAGTGTCACTGCTAATCACAAATAATCTTCTGTTCTAACAGGAGAACACTATTGTTGAGCTTGAGCAAAGAAATAAGAGGTATGTTACTTTTTACTATCCATCTACCAGGTTCAAATCTTACACATTTGTGGTGTTTCTCATTATTTATATTTTTCTATCTATATATAAATTGTGTGTCCCTTTAGTGAGGATGACAGCCTTATCACGTCACTTCAGGATGAACTTAAAAACCTCAAGGAAGAGATGGTGCAACTTAAGAGCACACCGGTAAGTCTACCTCCATATGTGTTAAATGATTCTGCTTCTACTAAAGAATTATCTTTGAGACTCATTTGCATGTCGACTCTGTTTCAGCAATCAGATAGCGCCGCAGAGCTCGGACAGCTACAGAACAGGTAAATGAGTGTGACACATGAAAAGAACAGTCTTGCATATTGTTAGGTCTGTTATTTAAATCACTGTCTTGTCTCTTTTGGTTCTGTGCTCAGTCTGACTGAGAAGGATGCCCTTGTCACATCACTACAAGAGCAGCTGAGAGAAAAGATGACCACTGATGCAGTAAGAGTCTCTTTACACACCAGTGGCTTATCAATTGAAGCCTGCTTATGCTCCTAATCACCTTATTGATCATGTCATCCATTGTTTTAGCAGAACACTATGGCACAACTGACAGCTTTACAAACTGAAACCAAAGAGACTCTCCAGACACTCTTCCCACAGATACCCCTAGAGACAGAGCAGGTAAGAAAAGGGCTGAGTTGCTCAGTGTGATGATTATTCTTATTCTGTAGAATAAAACTCACCTGATTGATTTATATCTGTGTTTCTCTTCACTTAGTCCAACTGGTTACAAGTATTTACACAGAAAGCTCAGGAGGCTCTCAGCCAGCAGAGCCAAGAGTCCCAGTCAAGCACAGCGTCACCGGTAAGCCATCATGTTATACTGTTACCATATACTGGTTTCAATCAGCCTGGCAGAGGAAGATCTGAATGAGTCGTGTTTGTTTCAGGAGTTGCTTGAGAAACTGAAGGAGGCTGAGGAGAGCCATGGCTCCCTGCAGGCTGAATGTGAACAGTACAGGACAGTCCTGGCTGAAACGGTAAGTGACTGAGATATTAATATAATGTAATATGAAAAACTCTTGTTCTTAGTAAGATGGTAGAATATGTGAGGTGTGTGAATATGGGGTTATTTTATGCAGCTTTTTATTCCCGGTTCCCTTCTACTTCAGGAAGGAATGCTGAAACATCTGCAGAAGAGTGTGGAAGAGGAGGAGCTGGTCTGGAAGTCCAAGATGGCTAACTCAGAGGAACAGCTGAGGGTGGTAAGTTATAATATCTCCTTGAAATCACTATGACTTTGATATTTGTTTCACCATGTGTCCGTCCCCCTGCATTATTTTCAAAACTTAACAAAAGTCCCTCTCACACACTACCAGGCTTTGGAGAAAGTCAGCAAGCTGGAAGCAGAAAACCAAAGTGTAGAACAGGTGGGGATATTTTTTTCATATACACACAAGCTCAAATAGCTCCTAGAGGTAAGCTAACAGGTTAGTAACTTTTTTTTGTTCTCTGTAGTTGAAGGAGCAGATGATGCTTCTGGAAGCCCAGCTGGAGAAGCAGTCAGACAACCAGGGGACCTCAGAGGGGGAGGAGCAGGTACATGAGCAGGTCTAATTTACAGTTTACAGCAACCTCACTGAAACTGGCATTGCTGCTAATTTTTCATGTTGTTATTTTATGTACAAGTTCACTTGTTAAGGAGGTGAACTATCATATTATTGGAATTTTAGCCTTGTGTTTGAAAAATATATTTTTCATAAGGTGTATATTTAGTTCTTTTCTATATTTGTATTTATTCTTATGATGATATTTCAACATTACAAAGTAATGTTTTTTAATGTAATGTTTCTTAAAATATTTTGTGTTTAATTAATGAAATGTCATAGAAATAGTGTAGAGAATTAGCAATCTGTATTTGATAAAACCTTCTTTGAGTTTACTATGAATTCCTAGAAACACATTTCACATGTTTAAAGCTTTCAACCTCTTGTGGTGCATTTAAAACAATGCCTGTCTGACATCTGTTCATTCCTGTGTCCTGCTCTGTATTCAGCTGAAGCTGCAGCTGTCAGAGTGTCAGACCCAGCTGGATTTGGCCCAGAAGGAATCCCAGGCACAGAAGGAGGAGCTGGCACAGGTGACCTTAGACTTAAGTTGCTTTCCCATTCACCAGGCTTTAATATTTACTCATTCATACACCAGTGTAACTGAGGTAAGATGGAGACATTTTATGTGTGAGATGTCACATATTGAAGAATTTGTTTAAAACCCTCCTAAACCCACACAGCCAGCTAAGTAAGGTGTCGGTGACATGTAACACAAAGGGGATTCATGGATGGAGGTTATGCAACCAATGACTAGCGACGGCTTCCTGTTTCAGGTCAGAGAGCAGCTGGGCGAGATCACGATGCGGGCTCAGCGCGAACAGAATGGCCCAGCTGAGGCTCAACCCAGTCAGGTCAGGGTGCAGAGGTCACAGGGCACCCTTAGCTTCCTGTCAGAGAACACTGGACAGTGACTAGGACACTTCTCCAAAGATCTCCTTTGATTTGTTTCATTTTGAGTTATTTCTCAAACATCTTGGTTCAATTCAATAGAAAATTGAAAAGATACATTTGTTATTTACATGCACCTTATTGATTAAAACAGGTTCTTTGTGATCTGGCTTTTAGAAGCAGCGTGCAGTCAAAGCCATGTCCTAAATCAAGGATGTGGCCACGATACACGGATACTGAGTAACAGATGATAAAGAAGTGCTGTATTTCCAGTCTGTCCAGTTCTCCTCTGACAGAAGCTGTTTATGCTAACCTTTATTTGAATTGACTGAGTGGATAGAACTCTAACATGGCTCTTTCTCACCTTTTTCGGCATGCTCACCTCTCCTCATTTGTTTTCAGATATGCGTTTGTAGGATTCTTAACAGCAACAGAAATTTTGCATTTGACTTGAGCTTTCCACCTGAAATAGTCTGAGAGGAGACTAACTTCGCTCGCAGGCCGAGCAGCTTGTGTGTGTGGGTGTGTGGGTGTGTGCAGTGCTCCTGCTTTGGAACAAGAATGCTTGCATCCACGCATGCATGTTTTAACCATGGGTCTGTGTGTATGTTCATTGTGTGTTTGTCTACCATCAGGTCCAGAATGAGTTGAGTCAGACATCTGAGAAGCTGCAGGGCGAGGCAGCTCAGAGGCAGCAGCTCTCAGAAGAGTTTGAGCAGGTAGCAGCCATCAATGTTGCACTCTTTTTTTTTTTTTTTAACTTTGTCACACCAGATGTTTACTAATAAACTCTTGGTGGATGACATCACTGTGTGTTGTTAAACCTCCAGGCCCAGAAAACTGTCACAGAACTTCAGGCTCAGCTGGATCTTGTGAAAGCTTCTGGAGAGTCACCACAAACTGACACAGAGGATGTTGCTCAGCTCAAGGTTTGTTCACAAGTAACACAGAGAATCAATGCCTGACTGATTGATGCTTTTGCTTTTTTTTTTTTTTTGTCAGTGCTGGATTATGATAAATTTCTAACCCAGCAGAGTTTGTCAGAGCAACAGGTGGTCCTGCTCCAATCAGGAACCAAGTGTACCTCTCAGTTTCACATGAAGATCACATTGAAGAAAGCTTTTGTTTTCCTCCAGGAATTCATCTCTAAAGTACATGTCCTCACTTGCTTTATAGAGAACCAAGTTCAATATTAATTAAATTACACATTATAAAATAATCATATGAATAAATATAGATAAAATATATAACCAACAACTGGAGCGAGGTTGATTAGATTTAATTGAAGCAGTTCCTTTTTTATTTTTTACCTCACATTATTTTCCCCAGTGACAACAGTTATATTTCGTAATGCCATTCAGCTGGTACTTTGGTCTGAATGAGTGGGCAGCTGATTACATAACTGACTCTGCCATGTTTGTCTTGATTGACAGATAAGACTTTGGGATGAAAAGTGGGATTATGAAATACAGTAAATTGTTACTGGGAAAAATAGCGGTGAGAAATATAGACATTTGAAAAAACTAAATCTGAGTCCTGTTGTGAAAAGTCACAGGATGAAGGAACATTTCATAATAATGAGCTGAGTTTTACAAGATCACTGAATTAGTTCACAATATTGTGGTTAAAGGATGTACTTTGTAGTTTCATGTTACTCATTTTGTATCTTTATTTAATATTCAACACATTGGATCTCCACATTGAGTGTCATTTTTGCTTTGAAGTAACATTTGCTGCTGCTGCTGTTGTCACAACAGGAGCGCCTGGAGAAGGAGAAGAAGCTGTCCAAAGACTTGGGCCAGGCAGCCACCAAGCTCCAGCAGCTTCTCAAAGCCACTCAGGAGCAGCTGACCAAAGAGAGGGACACCGTGAGAACACTACAGGAGCACCTGGAAGGCAAGGTGAGACAACTTGCACACCAGTAAGACTACTCATACACAATCTAAACCCAAATTATTTTAACATGCTTGTGTATTTTGACATTAATCTTTCTCTTATTTCTGTTTTCAAGGGAGATTATGTCGAGCTGAAGGAAGGAACGTCCGTCTGACAGGAAGTTTACTGCGGACACTACACAAAACTGCCAAATATGCCTTATGATTACCATAGTTATGCATTCCAAAACAATTTCTTTCTTGTACTGTAGTATATTGCATTTGTTGCAACTGTAGGAATCATGTTTGATAATATGTACATTTCAAAATAAGATTAGAGGAGAGAATCCTGCTGCGATCTTTACTGAAACGCATTCCATCAGCGATTCTGGCTATGTCAGAAGTTACTTATCCCCTGCCTTATATTCCAAACATTTCCCCATAGTTCAGTGTTAAAAGGGAAACCGATTGTACGTCAAACGTACATCAACCTGTGCAATTACTTTGTATGTCTTTTCTATGTGGTTGAATGATGGAGACATTTTATGGTTCAATGATGCAGTACCTTTGTGGGCCTGCTTTCCTCCGTAGCTGGCTGCCAGTAACACACATCAAATTTGAATTTGTATGAATGAATAAACTACAGTGTCACTCTGTCATTCCTGACCAGCGTCTGTGTCATACTTGCTGTAAAGGCACAATGAATGTGGACAGGAAGCAAAGGAAAAATTGGCTTATCGCTAGAGTATTCTCTATTTTGACATAGTTTCAGATCCGGTATGAATCAAGCAGCAAATCCGGAAGTAGGGGCACCGGCTCAGTCAGTCATTTGTAATACTTAAGCCATCCTGCCAGGGTAAAAAAATTGATCACAGAAACCTGTTACATCTCTGCTGTGTAAAGAACAGTCCCTGTTTCTGACAGGAAGTATTACTACACAGCAACATCCTCACAGTATATCACCATACAGCAAAATGGAGGGTTATGAATTCTCCCCATAGCACATACAATAGTAGCTCCAGTCTCATTATCCTTCTAAACATGACTAGGTGTTTGTAAATTGTGTTCGGAAACAGAATGCCTAAATGTGTAAATCGTAATGCTTTACACACTGTAATGTTCAGGTTGCATCAAAGGTTAAGACACCAGGAAGTATTGTACAAGGTGGAGTTTTTCCAAAGGCCATGTTTGGTTTTGTTTCTGGGATGATCTGTCTTTCACTCCTCCCAAACGCATGCACACTACTGTGATAGGCGGGGGTGAGCAAAAAAGCTAATCTAAGCAGAGATTGAATCTTAAATTTCATTTGGTCCTCATTTCATTGTGGCTGCTTGCAAAATTAAGCAGAGCTGTCAGGTAGTGGGCCCAGATTTCATGAACAGAGGCAGACAAATGTCACGGTGCAGCTGTGAAATATGGGAGGAGGATACGCTGCATCTGGGCTGATTTTCAGTGGATGGGTCACGTGCCGTGTCCACACGGCTTCCAAATTTTGCATTGATTAGATGACATTTCAAACTTAAGTAAACGTTGACAAAGTAAAATATTTGGGGTGGTAAAAGTAAAGTAAAAAAAATGCTGCGTCATATTAAGCAAGAGAAAAGTGAAAGATACAAATAAACTTGGTAGTGATAGAGAAAAAATAACGGACAAAACTTACTGCAAGCAATTAACTTTGGTAACGGTCTAACATTTGGCTTCATATGTGCAGAATTGAGCAGGTATTGTGTATTTCCAAACACACACACATACTGTATATATAAATTCAAATGTATTAGTATGGACAGCATCACCTGCAGTACTTGGTTTAACTCAAGCTTAACCTTACAACCTGGGTTGAGTCCAGGATCATTTGGGTAACCAAGTAAATCTGGCCTGTAAGTCTGACACCCAAAATTTTCCTGACTGGAGGCAGAAACCTTGTAGCATATATGCACGTGCTATGACCACCCCCCAGCTATCTGTTAATTATAGCCTCCATCCATACTTGTCTCTTGAAAGGCACCAGCTATAAATACGGGTTGTAATGTTTGACATGTCAGTCTCATGGTGCTGATTAAAGCCAGAGTACCAGTAACATTCTGTCTTCTAAAAACTGAAAAGAGATTTGATTAAAAAAAAGAAAAAAAAGAAACAAAGTAAACAGCTGATTGCATTGAATTTATTTGACAATACTCAGACAGTGCACCAACTGCTGCATTTTCATTGAAACATTTCTTTGCAAAAGTCTTTACAGGTTTCCATCAAAGTGTAACAGTCTAGAAAAACAGATTTATCGAACTTATAGGCCCAGCTATTTTGACCTAGTAAACTTTTCAAACAGCATGTATGTACATAAAAACAGCAAATTACTGATATGAGAAGTCTAAATGTACCAAGAGCCACATGACACAAAATAGTATCAGTGTACAGTGATATGTCAAATAATGAATAAAATTAGATCTGAAAGAGATTGATTTCACAGCCAAACTGGTGCTGACTGGACAGTTAACATTAAAGGTTTGGGTTACAGGAAACTAATCCCATCCAGAGCCCAACTCTTCTCTTTAAGCTTGTTTTTTTTGTTTTTTTGTTTTTTTGTTTTGGATTGGTTCAAAGCAAAATTGTTTTGGAAACTTTGGTGTTATCATCTCAAATCCTCTTAACTTGACTTTGATTTAGAGGCAGGCTGCACAGCGTGGCCCTCAAGCGTGATTATATCTTTCCCCATTTCTGCTGCAAACGAATCCCTGTTGGACAAATCTGCAAGGTCATTTACCTGCAGCTGATGTTTGATACCTGTTGAAGACATAAGCGTTAGTTAAAAAGAGGGATCACTATTCTACCAATTAATACAGTTAGGGAAATAAAGATGTGATTGTCGCATTTTAAACTGTGGTGCTTCTACTAGAATTAAGATTTGATCAAATTTAACAAAGTGGAAAAACATTTACCTGTCAAGATCTTCCTCATGGATTCTTTTGAGCTAGCGTAGTTCATTTTTTCTTTGACAGGTGCATTTTCAGGAGCCCTGGCATGAAGAGAAATCATAATCCCTTTGTCATTAAGTCTGGCACACTGGGACTGTATACTGTAACAGGATTATTCTCATATACACATAAGATTATGTATCCTCAGTATAAGATTGGCTCTTGTTGCAGTTGGAAAAATAAATGTAGTGGTTATGCTTTAGCGACAATACAAGGACTTACCACATCACAAAGACCAGTTCTTCCTTTTTAAGTGATTCCTTGGTTTCAAAGTGGCAGTCATACAGCATGTAGCGGCACTCATCCGGCTTCAGCAGACCCACAAAGAACTTGAATACATCTGTGTCCTCCATTTCCTTTTGCCGGAAAATTTTCTCCATGTCAATGAGACCGTTGCCGATTTTAAATACCACCAGTCTTATACGGTCCATCTGATCAGCATCATTTTTCACTACTTTCATCTCATTGTAGAGGTCCTTCACTTGATCAGCGACTTTTACTCCAGATGCCTGTTATGAGAAAACACAAAACATTACATGTCCATATTTAGTAAAAAAGAAAAGAAAAGAAAAAGAAATGTTGAACATGTTTTGTCGATACAATATTTTGTTGATGTACTCCTTTAGAAGGTAGTAACCCCACAGGTCACGTCATTGAGCTAAAGAAAGTCAGGGTCTATCTAAATCTCATGTTCCACATACTAATGCTTTAAGACGAATCGAAAGAGAACACACACAAAGACAAAAAAACCCAACTATAATTGCATTTGTAACTTACATTTACTTAAATTGTTCAGTTGCAATTGTAAGATCTTGTATTTTGAATGACGATAAGAAAAGTTTGCGTAAAGAGGAGGTGCAAATGGTTGAATTTCATTCATTTCATACAAAAAAAAAAAAAAAAAAAAAAAAAAAAAGGCGACAAAGCAAACACTACTTCCTTGTCATTTTAAATCATGAGATTTACTAAGTTCAGCACCAAGTCTAATGTGCCAGGTAAGAGTATAAATTCTCATCAGATGAGAAGAATGATGAAAGTACATCACAGTAGGCACACTGTGGGAAGACTTGGGCCTTGGCTTATAGTCGAGCAGATGATGTTCACTCGTACTTTGGTTTTGAGACGGAAAGCAGAACTGAAAGATGAAGAAACAGGAAGTTCTTCAAAACTAGACTATGGAGAGAAGTTTTAAATGTTATTTAGGCAGTTCAATGTGCAGATACTCTACAAGCTTGTTTAGCAGTCACACACCATGAGTGGAGCTTCCCTATGAATTTTCATGGCCTTGGCTCTGTCACATTCCAGTCATTGTGGAACAAGTTCGCACAAGAAAGACCGCCCCAAGGGATTCTCTCAGAACAAATTTCAAGAACGAACAAAGCTCCCTCCATTTTGGAAGCAAAACCACACCTTGAATAACCTCTTGCAAACACCAAAAGCCTCCTTTTACTCAGCAAACCTTTTTTTCTAAAAACAGCAAACATCAATCCAAGACAACATCTGAGTTTACACCTTTTTATTCCTTCAAATATCGTTAAAATGAGGATATGACATTTTAAATCACCTCAATCACCTCTAGATTACATGTCCAGTACTGCACACACATCACAATGAAGAAGTTGTTAACTGACACAGCCAAATTCTTTGAGAAAGCTACTCACCATTTTGCTTGTGATCTGTGAAGGAGCAGGCAGCAGAGAAAAAATGGCAGCAGCAGTCAAAATGCTGAGGGGGTCATAAGGAAGGAGAGCAGGTTGACTCATGTAGGAGGGGCTGTGGTAAATGAGCACACCTCCAAAAGTAGGTCCACCCCCTGTCTTCCCAGGTGTGACAGTTTCAGATTCAACCTCAGCATACGCATTTAATCACATTACATTTGAAGCCTAAATCACAATGAATATAATATGTACATCATTGTCTGGCGCAGTACAGACATTTTTCTCAACCTGCCCCTCTGCTTTAGTTTGACAGAGGAACAGATCTTCCTTTTTTTTAGGCAGAAGCCCCAGGTGAGCCTGAGCCAGTCATGGGTGGGTGCAGCACATAACACCCTTATATGGAGAACATACCTGTCCATATTTTGAACTCATCTGCTGCTGAGATGCAGTTCAATGACCTTATAAGGTAAAAGGTAGGATGACTGCACAGATGTGCCAAAAGGATTTATCTGTCTACCTGTTGAAAGAGAGCTGGTAGGTCTCCATCAGATTCCAGTAGTCAGTAGTCAGACGTACAAAAACATGACTGCTTTCTATCCAGTTCGACACTGAACACAGCAAATGTTAAACATATTTACTACCAAAGAACTTCAAGATGTGAACTTCAAGTGTAAATTTTCAACCGTCGTCTCAGTTTCATAGATGTTTTTCTCCAGTTAGCTTCTGTGAGGAGTCAGTGCAGTTAATATGACTCGCAGACCCAGTGGCAGACCTGTTCGTCTCTGGAGTGGAATTTTACATAGGTGACACCCATGTTGAAAAAAGACTGCACTGATTCAAAGTTTGATGTCAGTCACATCTTCATCAGGTCAAAAGAAGAAAACAAGAAACAAAAAGTAAATGCATTTAAATAGGGCCATTTGACATTGTAGTTTTCCATGTTTGTCTTTAGAATAATCTGAAACTTCTCTGTAAAGTCCAGGAGTGTAGCTGGGAATTAGGGGCCCATGTCACAGGAGGGGAACCATGCCCCCCCTGC